TTCTTTTTATTTCTGCTCCCAATAACCAAAACTCCCTGCTCTTTATCAGAAGACTGCCTGTAGGCTAGTGGAACCCATCTTGCCCGTAAGCTCAGGGAGGAAGAAGAGCCTAGGAATTTACATTTCCCTGAAATGACCCTTAACCAATGAGTGGTGTAGAAGTACGAAAGCCCAGGCCCCCAGTTTCCGCAGGTCAGGACAGCTCTGAGGCATAACTTGCAGTCCAGAGTTCCCCTGTGGGATCAGGCAGAAGCCACCTTGTGAGGGACTCTGCTCCACATCACATCCATATTTGTCCTCTTCCCTTCTATGACCTACTTCCTCCATCCTCTCCTGGTTCCGTCGGAAGAACTTTCATTATAATCACTTGGATATAAATCCTCTCCTCAGGTCTGCTTCTGAAGACAACTTAAAAAAAATAAGTGAAATAAGCCTTTCATTTTTTTTTCATTTTCTTATTATTCTTGTCTGGTTTTGGGATCAGGGTTATACTGCCTTACAAGAATGAGTTGGTAGTGTTCCTTTTTAAAATTTTTCCTGCTCTCTGGTAGAGTTCATTTAAGATTAGATGTCTCTGTTCCTTGCAAGTTTAGTATTATTTACCTGTGATGAACCCAGGGTGACAGTCATCTCAGGGTATGAATACGTGATGGGGGAAGGAGGGCAGAGAGAAGCATTAGAGAACAATTAGTTGTACATTACTGTCCTAATCATAGCTTTTGTTCTGGTTGTAGTCATGAAAAATGACTAACTAAAAAGGATTCAAACATGAACAAGTAATGATGGAAAGAAGCAAGAATTATAATTAATTGAATTCTATGCACCTGAAGTCCATTAAAGAAAGAAAGAAAGAAAATCTGTTATCAGAAATTAATGTAGCTACTGTTGATTTCTTTTGGTTATTATCTGCCTGATATAGCTTTCTGATGCATTTACTTTTAACCCCTCATATTCCCAGCCTGTCTGCCTTATTGAGTTGTTGCAAGGATCTCAGAAATCACCCTGTAAAGCCCAAAATAAAATCACAGGAATTTCAATTTGCTACTAAGTTCAGAGTCTAATTTTCAAACAAATTTTCCCTCATCTCAGCATCTTCCCTTGTGACTGTCCCTCTGTATCTAGGTCCATGTACCTGCATCTTTTAATTTGTCTCAAATTTTTACTGCCATTAAGAGTAAACAGGTGTCTCATTCTGGGACTTGGAATGGGCAGAACAGGGGGATTATTTAAGGAGAAGTTTGGTCACTGTGGAAACTTGCAACGATTAATCTTCCTAGACTCCCACAGATGTATTTGTGTGGGTGTGCACATGCACACTTGACTGCAGTCATCTCTCCCTTTCATAGATGACAGGAATAAGGACCTCTGGACCTTCCTCTTCCTGAAATGGGCCTCGAGTCTGCTGCACTGGTCCTTGTGCCCAAACTCCTCCCCACACGTGTCAAAGGAGCTGTAAGACTGATCCTGCAGCTGCCACCCTCACTTCTGTGCTCTCCATCCGCCAGGTGCCTTTCTCCAACTGCAGCCGAGACTGCCTGGCAGGGACCAGGAAAGGAATCATTGAAGGGGAGCCCACCTGCTGCTTTGAGTGCGTGGAGTGTCCCGATGGGGAGTACAGTGATGAAACAGGTAAAGCAGCAGACCCTGGTGGACACTCTGCAATACCTGCAATACCACCTTAGGGCCCTGGGGTTAGTGAAGTCCCTGGAAGGGCTAGGCTGAGAGGGTACTTAGCATGGTTTCTCATTTAACAAGGTATGTCTGAGTGTCATGTTGAGGCTGCACCGAGGGGGACAGTAATGTTAAAAGTCTTATAATACCATTAGAGCTTACACATCTTTCTTTTACCTCAAATACTGCTTTCCAGTATTGTTTTCCTTTGCTTCTAGCTCAGTGGCCTTGAACAAAGTTCTGTCTGTTCCAGGCTCCAGGGTTAATAGGCCATAATGGATTGCCTGCTGGGTCCCTGGTTCTGTACTTGCTGCTTTACTTATGTTCTTCCTCTGTGTCAGTTTATTTATCTGTAAAGTAGGAATAGTAATAAATATAGTATCTCATGGAGTTCTGGGAATAAAATGAGTTAATATTGGTGAAACATGTAGTTAAGTTCCAGATAAATGTTTGTTAAATGAAAACCCTGACTGGCATATTAGAAACTCTCTATAAATATGAACTGTAACTGTTACTATTGTTATTATCCCATTTCATCCTCACCTCAATAATGGGGTCATTATTACTCCCATTTCATGGATGAGAAAACTGAGGCTCAGAGAGGTTAAGGAGCCTGACCAAAGTCACACAGCTAGTAATGGGAGGGCCAGGATTCCCCTCTAGATCTCTGACAGCAAAGCATGGGCCTGTGCTCTTTTCACTTCCCAAAACTGCAGGTTGCCTAGGACATAGCAGAGACTTAATAAACACCCACTGATTGAATGAATGTGCAGCCTTCCTCACTGGAAAGCCATGGATGTGGAATGAGGAAGGCACAGGTCATATGTGTAGAATATTCTGCCTTAATCTAAGAGGAAGTCTCTCTGGCATGTCTATAAAGCCCATCCATATATCCAAAATGAGTCAGGCTAAGCTTGAATCACTGAGAAGCTGATGGACTATGTGGACACCCTGTGTGCAGGCAAGGACCTGTCCAGCAAGGTTGACCTCTGTGCTCCAAACCATCATCAGACAGTGCTAAGAGCAGCACAGAGCAACCCTCCCCAACCACGTACAAAGGAAAAAAATTATGGAACTATCAAAGATTTGCGAAATTCATTTTATTATTAAACATAACTCAGTTCAGTATGTTATTTGGAATGTAAAAATCACAATTATTTCACCAATAAAGAGAATTTTAAATAACTATATCCAATAACCTGTGTACCCTCACCACCACATTCACATTCACAAATTTTAGTCGGTGCCACACAGTAACAAACTCTTCACTGGGACATTTTACAGATGCAAGTGCCTGTGACAAGTGCCCCGATGACTTCTGGTCAAATGAGAACCACACTTCCTGCATCGCCAAGGAGATTGAGTTCCTGTCGTGGACAGAGCCCTTTGGGATCGCACTCACCCTCTTTGCTGTGCTGGGCATTTTCCTGACAGCCTTCGTGCTGGGTGTCTTCATCAAGTTCCGCAACACGCCCATCGTCAAGGCCACCAACCGAGAACTCTCCTACCTCCTCCTCTTCTCCCTGCTCTGCTGTTTCTCCAGCTCCCTTTTCTTCATCGGCGAGCCCCAGGACTGGACGTGCCGCCTGCGCCAGCCAGCCTTTGGCATCAGCTTTGTGCTTTGCATCTCATGCATCCTGGTGAAAACCAACCGCGTCCTCCTAGTATTTGAGGCCAAGATCCCCACCAGCTTCCACCGCAAGTGGTGGGGGCTCAACCTGCAATTCCTGCTGGTCTTCCTCTGCACCTTCATGCAGATTGTCATCTGTGCGATCTGGCTTTACACCGCCCCGCCCTCCAGCTACCGCAACCATGAGCTGGAGGATGAGATCATCTTCATCACATGCCATGAGGGCTCGCTCATGGCACTGGGCTTCCTGATCGGCTATACCTGCCTGCTCGCTGCCATCTGCTTCTTCTTTGCCTTCAAGTCCCGGAAGCTGCCAGAGAACTTCAATGAAGCCAAGTTCATCACCTTCAGCATGCTCATCTTCTTCATCGTCTGGATCTCCTTCATTCCAGCCTATGCCAGCACCTACGGTAAGTTTGTCTCTGCCGTGGAGGTGATCGCCATCCTGGCAGCCAGCTTCGGCTTGCTGGCCTGCATCTTCTTCAACAAGGTCTACATCATCCTCTTCAAGCCGTCCCGTAACACCATCGAGGAGGTGCGCTGCAGCACCGCCGCTCACGCTTTCAAGGTGGCAGCCCGGGCCACACTGCGCCGCAGCAACGTCTCCCGCAAGCGGTCCAGCAGCCTCGGGGGCTCCACGGGATCCACACCCCCGTCCTCCATCAGCAGCAAGAGCAACAGCGAAGACCCCTTCCCACAGCCGGAGAGGCAGAAGCAGCCGCCACTGGCGCTGACCCAGCAAGAGCGGCAGCCACGGCCGCAGCAGCAATCGCAGCAGCAGCCCCGCTGCAAGCAGAAGGTCATCTTCGGCAGTGGCACTGTCACCTTCTCATTGAGCTTCGACGAGCCTCAGAAGAGTGCCATGGCTCATAGGAATTCCATGCACCACAACTCCCTGGAGGCCCAGAAAAGCAACGATACCCTGAGCCGACACCAGGCCTTACTCCCACTGCAGTGCGGGGAGACACACTCAGCACTGAGCACCCAGGAGACGGGCCTGCAAGGGCGTGTGGGTGGAGGCTGCCAGCCAGAGGCCGAGGTCCCTGAAGAGGTGTCCCCAGCACTGATGGTGTCCAGTTCACGGGGCTTTGTCATCAGTGCCGGAGGCGGCACTGTCACCGAAAATACACTGCATTCGTAAACTGGAAGGACACACCCAGTCCAGGCAGGACCCAGAGAGGTTTCTGGGATCACATTCTCTGAACAGGCGTGAGGAGTCACTACTTGGAGGAAAGAAGCAGGACACGCGCAGGCCTCAAGCTTAGTTGCACTGTTTTAAATGACAATGAGAAGACTGACATTCTCTCTAAAATTAAAGAAAGAAGAGCCGTGTGCTCCTGTGGTTGGACTGTCGGAGTGCTGAGGACGCCACGGTCACATCTTCTGCTTGTCTCTCCCTCTGTTCTGTCCCACCAACAAACCAGAGATGAAAAGGCTTTATGTGACCCAACTGCTCCCTCCTTTTTTTAACATTGAAATGCCTGCCCTAAACATTGCAGACAGCCTGGCCGAGGGACAAAAGTGCACAAAATGACAGGACACCAGATTGGCCACCACTAGAATTAAGTCTGAAAGACAAAATGTCAGTAGTGCTTCCGGGCACCTTGGCAATGAGAAGAACTTTAAATGTTCAAAACCATAAAGTGAATGTGTCCCCAACCTATTTATAAAAACCAAAAGGTATCTGGTCACCTACCTGCTGCTGCTATCATGTGACATCTAGAAGGTTAGCATCCCTCCTATACCAATACATCTGGTTTTGTCCAGAATGTAGCAGTAATGCCATATTTAGATTCCAGGATCACAAGAATCACCTCAAATTGTTGGGAAGGGACTGCATGAATCCAATGAGCTGTTATCTGTAATTAATACTGTTATATGTACCTTTATCCTTTAAAAAATACTTCTGTTGTAATAGCCCATGGACAATATAAACTGAAAATTGTCACGGTCTGGTTTATATAAGGCAGTATTACTGAGCTCCGTGTACCTTGCCCACCCCACCACCCTCACCCCCATGAGCAAAGCCCTATGTGAGCCCCAGGGGTCCAAAAGCTCCCCCATCCTTGCTCCCAAGGCTTCCTGAAGCCAGATCTGCACCTGCTCTTGCAGAGAACAAGCTCCCATCATTGGCCCCTACAAGTTGCTGGGTAGGAAAGCATGGTTCCAAGAACCGTCTCATGGGACATTAGCCTGGCACGCAAATGTCATAACTACATTCCCTCCACTAGTGGGGGTCTGCCAGTCAGTAGTTAAAGGGGTTGAGTGACATACTGCTGAGCATTCAGGCTCTGCAGGCAGAGAGACTTGGGTTCAAGCCTAAGATTGATTCACTTACAAGTTGGGTGACCAAGGCACGGAACTTTAAACTTGCTAAGTCCCAGCTTCCTTGTCTCTAAAATCAGGGTAATCACATTCTTTTCCCTCAGAACCCTTAAGTGGATTAAATGAGGTCATGTATATAAAGTACTTTAGCTTGGTGCCTAGCACACAGTAAGAACTCAATAAATATTAGTTAATATTATTACTGATATTTTTTCACTTGCTTAGACTATAAAACAAACTTTATTTATTTACCATTTGGACTTTAATGATTAGTTCACTGTTCACAATAACTTGCTCCAGAATAAGCCCTAAAACTCTGGGGCCCAGTTCAGGTGGTCAGCCTAGTAACACTGGCTCATGGTGAAGAAGCCAGAGCGTCAGTCACTTCCCTGGGGGCCCCCATGCTCCACCTCTGTGGTGCCAGCACCTGGACCTCCAGCACCAAGGGAGATCATCACCAGTCTGGCAGTAATTTCTCAGATCACTTTAAGCAGAGGCCAAAATATAGCAATTACATCTGTGTGAGGCTCAAACTTTGCAGCTCTTGATGACTTCCTCCAACCACTTTTTCCAAAGGGCTGCCTTTTCAAAATTTTTAAAGGAGCTTGTTGATATGATGGTTGTTAATGTGGATAAAAAGGCATTAGGAGACCCCTGTGGGAGCACAACTGTGAGACACAGAGCAGGGCTCACCCAGGAAGACCCCAGAGAGGCACCTGCTTCCCGAGCCAGGAAGGGCGCTGGCCCGGGCACGCCTCCGCACAAGGCACACAGCTGAGTGAGCACTTACGTGTCACATCTTACTTAATCCTTAAAAAAAAGAGAAAGCAAGTCTGATGGCTTGGTTTTTATGGGTCAAAATAGCTACTCTGCTGTGCAAAATGTCACACTCTCATCCTTTCAGAGTTTGACCTCCATGTGCAGCTCACACACATGGCTGACCTGGAGGAGGAGGTTCATCAAGGAGAACACACAGTTTCCCCTGAGCTTTATTTCACCAAGTGCTTAGAAATAGAGTAGTCTCTCCCAATATTCTTGTCAGAAAAGGAGACTCAACATCACTGTTCTCATTTTTACCTAGCAAGCACAACTCTCAGCCCAAAATCAGGGTGTGAAATATGAACTTTCATTCTTTTTCTGTAACAACCTACTTTCCATCTCATATTTCCCTTCAATCTAGTGACAGAAACTTCATCTTAGTCAAATGGGGGTTTTCTCAGTAACTTCAGAGTTTTCTCAACAGTTTAGATTTCTGGGGCTCAGTTCACAGGTTTCTTTCTTCCCTTTTGCAGGACGGGTTTTGTAGAGCACAGGGTATTAGCAGCTCCCGTTGACATCTCTGAGGACATCTGGCCCTCACTAATTGTTATGCCTCCACGCTGGCCTCTGAGGCATCCCATCCCCACATGGTCCCCATGGAAGCCATGGGAGCCACAGGGATTTGCACGGCTGCATCACTTTGTCACTTTGCCCCAACTGCTGGGCTCCTCCTGGCCCTGCCCGCTCTCTCATGAGAGAGGCACTCAGCCTGGGAACTACTGGGCAGCTCTCAGGCCCCTCTCCCCTGGCCTCCACACTGCCTTGTCTACTGGACTGCTGCCTCTTCGTGGTGTGCAGAATTCATGGAGACCAACAGGTTTCTAAGGTGCCAAAGGAAAAATAGGGCACATATCTCTAAACCTGTATAGGCATCTGTGGAAGGCTGGATAATGCCCCCCTCCAAAAATGCCCACATGTTCATCTCTAGATCCTGTCATGACACTAAGGCCCATGGCAAGGGTGAATCACTGCTGCAGATGGAATCAAGGTTGTTAATCAGCTGGCCTTGAGATAGGGAGCTTATTCCTGATTATCTGGCTGGGCCCAATGTAATCACTAGGATCCTTGAAAGTGAGGAGGGCAGAAGAATCAGTGTTAGACTGCTGTGATGTGAGAAAGACTCCACTGACCCCTGCCACCTTTGAATATGGAAGGGGGCCAGGAGCCAAGGAACACAGGCAGCTTCCAGAAGCTGGAAAAGACCAGAAAAACAATTCCCCCCAGAGCTTCCAGAAGGAACCAGCCCTGTCAACACCTTGATCTTAGCAATGAAACCTTTTTTGGACTTCTGACCTCCAGAACTGTAAGATAATAAATTCAAGGTTGTTGTAAGCCACTAAATTTGTGGTGATTTGTTACAGCAACAACAAAAAATTAATGTAATTTTTTAATTGTCATCTCCTTCCCTTAGCTTTACCAGCTCAGGGAATAGGCCAGGGCCTTTCTCAGAGATCCACACCTGCTTTCACTCTGGTGTCCTCCCTCCAACCAGATCCCTCTCTCTCCTCCCAGAAGGGAACTCTTGACCAATATTCTGTTCCTCCAGACCTGTTTGGGGAAGTGTAAACCTTGTGTTCTGAGTCTTTCTGGGTTTTAGTTTTAAATAATTAACAGCCTTTGTCTCTAACAAAACCTATGCTCTGTTAGTAGCAGAAACCTGAAAACTAGTAGCTTTAACAAACTAGGGTTTGTTTTCTCTTGTATAAAATAAGTCCGTTTTTGGAAAGATTCTTTACAGTCCATTGGCAATGGTAAACTGTTTATCTTTCATTTGAAAATAAAAATGAATTATGTGCTTATGAAGGATTTTCACTCAAAGAGTTTCCTAGAAGATATGACCCTGAAAGTCCCTATGATCACTGCAAATTGTCTAATTGCATTCGTTTCTATTTTGGGGACACTGGGGCTGCCCTGCCTCTGTCTCCAAAAGTTACACTTCAGGGCAATGTTATTTCTCCTTTTGGCCTAAAGTCATTATTAGCAGTGGGCTAGCTCTGTATAGAGCCAGAGTTTCCATTTTCTAATCTCCTGCATTTGCACTTATCAGTGCTAGAAGAGCAACAGAACATAGATAAGGGGTGCTAGTTAATCCCTGGAGGAGGTGGCCTGCATTGGTCTGAGCCCAGGTGGTCATTTTAGGAGTCCACTGGAGACAAAAGCATCTCCCAAAGTTGGGTGGAATTGATGTAGGTAGAAGTAAGTTGTTGTAACTACTGGTCTCCAGGAGACCATGGCCTTCCTGTCCCAGATCACAGAAAAATACTAGGGGTTGGATGAGAACTTTGCTGTTATGCAAGGAGTGAGAAGAGATCAGGGATACAGGTACAGAGTAAGACCAGTCCCAGGAACAAAGTTCATTTCACGGAGAGGGAGGAGAGTTTTAGCCTTGAGGGAAACTGCTCAGCCAGTGGTATGAGAAGTAAAGAACTACTAGAAGGGCAAGCAGAAGCGAGAAACAGCAGAACCAGCATGAAGGTACACTCGGGTCCGGGGGGACAACTATGACCCCAGCATCAAGTGGGCCTTGGGGGCCATGTCGTCTGTTGGAATGACCACCACATCCCTCCCCTCCCCTGAACCCTGCACAAAGGTAGAGGGAGTTTAGAGTGGAGGTAGGGGTACCCGTTTATATCAAGAGCTGGACTGGAGGAAGGAAGGAACAATGGAGATACATCACCAACTGCCTCCGTCCAAAATTTGGACACGGGCTACCTGGGTAATTGGCTAAAGCAGGAGGTTAGAACCAATTAGAGCAATTAACTATAGTACTGAGTTCCCAGTACATGGAGGGAAAATCTCACAAGTATGGTGAAAACAGGTCAGATATCAAAGTTTGGGAGTAACACTATGGGTCAGTACAGGATTTGAACCCTAACAAAAGCATCAGGAAGTGTCTTTGAAAGAATGTGCTTGCTCCTGACATCAGTAGTTATTGCTCAAAACCTCCCAATTTTCTTCAAATGTTTTGTTTCTACCTGACCTCTGCAAACATTCAAATTATAAATAGAGATTGCTGCTTGGTGGTAGACTAATCATTTCTCCTTCTTTGGGATTGTCTATGCTTTGCAAATTTTGTATTAAGCTCAAAATTATATCCAAAAAATTAAGAAAATAATTTAAAATAATAACCACATAATGAAGTTAAACATATCATATTACATACAAATCACCCTGTTAGGTCAGCTGCCACTCCTACAATTTTGCTAGAGCTACAGTTGGTCCTGGGACTATTATAGAAATATTTTTTTATTGTTTTATTTACTCATAAACAGGCTGAATATATGGAATAGTGGGAAACCAGGAGGGGGATTCTAAGCAGCATAACATACAAACTATATATATATATATATCCTTGCATGAGGTACTTAATCTTGTCTAAGTTTGTTATAAAAGAGGATATAAGATTAGTGCCAAAATTACCACAACTATGGTTACTTGCCAAATAAAATAACTGACATAAAAATGCCCCCTTCAGGAGTCACCATAGGTAACTGAAGTTTAGAGGATTTGCTTTTAGGTACTCAAGAAGTACCACAGAGTTCAATGATTTCTTCTATCAAGTTTCTTAGCTGGAGGCGATATAATCCACTCTAGCTAGTTTCAACATAAAGATTTGTGATAGGGTATTAGGATGCTTATAAACTTCTGATGTTCAGCTTGGATGCTACAGGAACAATGCAGCCAGGAGAAATACCTAATCCCTTTATGAAGTTTTTCTCACAAAAACCTGTTTCCCATGCCTTCCACTTAGCACCTGTGACCAAGGGACAAGACACTAGGACTTCCACTGTAGCTGGAGGAACCAAGCCTCTCTGCCACTGTGCTTGGTCCCACTCACATCAGCTTTCCAAGACTCCCATCAGTCATGTGCAGGACTTTAGCTGCAAGGGAGTCTAGGAATGTGGCTTTTGCTTGTCCAGCCTCTACAGGATAGGAATATGTGCTAGAAGGTCACAGTGGGTATGAATGAGCCAGTATGCCAGTGTCCTCCACTAACAAAAAAGTACTTTTAAGATTAAGCACAAAATGAAAAACCTTCTCCTGAGAAAAAACAAACAAAATATGATTCCCTTTCAGCTTAACAGCTGTGGCAGATCAGAAAGATACCACTCTGAAAACAGAGCTGAGGCTGGCATTTTGCCACGAGAACCTGCCAACAGATAAAAGAGAGAAAAAATAGTGGCAAGTACTTCAGGGAATGGGACCAGAGGGGATAGGATGATGGAAATCTTTGTGCTTGATGATAAGCCAATTAGCACTATCTGACTTTTTAAATGATACTCATGTTTGTGTATGACTGTCTGTCTATGTGTATATGTGTTTAATAGCCTAAAGAAAAATACATAATTGTTCAATGGTGACTATGTCTAGGTGTTAAAATCGTGATTTTTATTTTCTTTTTAATAATTTTCTGGGTTTTGCCCTTAATCTCTTTTCAAGAACATGATTTATAGTAAAGCAAGAAAAATCTGTTCCTTGGATTATCAGATGTGATGATATTATGGCATGGGTTTGATCTCTTTTTTTTGCTTTTTATTTAAAAATAATTTAAAACAGATAATTTGCAAAAATAAGTAGTACTGTTAGGCAGGAACATAGATATGAGCGGGGTGGAAAGAGAATAAGGCCAGTAGAGCCCACTAAAAGGGACTCAAAGAGTTAAAGAGTTAGTCTCTTGAAGTTCAGAAGGCCAGAAGCAACTTGGCCTAGAAGTTTGAATATCCCCAGGTAAAGAAAAGTATCTCAGCATAGCCTGTGCTTTCATTGGGTCAATTAGCACTTAAGATTTACTTTAGCCTGCTCAAAGGCCCAGCCTATTCAGGAAGAATTCTATCTTAAAGCTAAAATTGCTTTTTATCAGATGGACAGTGTGGCTCAGCCCATCTTGGAGGCAGGGCAGACAGTCTTGACTGATACGTTTCCAGACAGAAACTGATATCCTGGAAAGGAATCAAAGCAGTACATTTCTTGTGTTAAGTTAAAAGAAGAAACTTAATGTCTTATCAAAGATGAACATTCTGGGATAATTTGGCTGGTCTGCACCTG